CTCACACTCAGTGAAGTGCCGGTCACAAAATGAAGTGAATTAAATTGCTCCTTCTGAAACATGGATTTTTCCTTTTTTTTTTTTTACCATCTTTATTGGCTGAAACACGGATTTTCTGAAGAGTGAATTGAGGGGTGCTCTGAGAAACAGCCTCAAGAGACCCATTGTTGTGTGCTTCTGGGACGATTTTGTTGAGGATATTGTTTGTCAGTTTTCTAGAGCCTTCTCCATAAAGACCTGGGGTGAGGGTGTTACTTTCTGCTCTTTGATTTAGCAATAGTTGTACTTCTCTTAATAGGATTGTTTTACCTTAAATACATTTTCAATTGTGTAAAAATTATGTAACCCTTATTATACTGGCTGCTAGAAAACTAAAAGCTAAATTGTGTCCCACTCTTTATGGGATGAATTTTATGAATTTGTCTCATTTCTGTTTCACATTTCATAACTATCTTCAAATTACAGTTTCACATTAACTTGCTGCATTTTATTGTTGCGTGATTGTAAGTGGACTTAGATCTTTTCTGGAATAACGTCAGGTTTAATTAATTAAGCAAAGTGATAAAGGAGTGGAAAGTTGAACAGAGAAAAGTGACATCTAAATGGGAGAGGGATATACCAGTTAGTATTCTTTAATTTCAAGTCATTTAAACCCCTAACTGGCTTAAATAACAACAACAAGATATTGATGTAATCTGACAAGTTCAGTGGTAGTTGTTTTCAGGTAGGGTTTGATCCAGGGGCTCAAAGAAGATCCACAGGGGTAGAGACTTTGTCTGTTTGGTTTACTGTTGAATTTCCAGTAAAAAGGTGGCCGGTACATCAGTGCTCAGTACATATTTGTTGAATTTGTTGTTGTGGAATTCCTAAAAGCTCGTGCACAAATCTCAGGACCTGACTTGGATCACATACCCTTCCCTGAACCAATCTTTTGATGAGGGGGATCCAGAGCTCTCCCTTTCCAGGTCTGGGTCACATGATCCCAACAGCAAAACCAGGGATGAGTCTGCAATGAAAGCTTGTGCACTCACAGTGAAGGAAGCTGGTTCCCCAAAGGAAATCTGGGGTGTTACAAAGGAGAAACAAATGCTGGGCAGACAAAACAACAAATATGCAAATCAATGGACTGTCAAGAAGTTGATGCTTGAGTTGAATTTTAAAGGATAAGCAGGAGTTAGCTAATAAAGAGGACCTTTTGTCAGTGGATAATGTTCTAGGTGTGTTCAAAGCACAGAGGCATAAAATAGCTTGATGCTTTCAAGGAATTGTGAATAGCTTAATATGGTAAGAGCAAATAGGATGGGGAGTGGTAGGAAAATAAAGTAGAAAGATAAGCAGAGTGCAAATATGACAGACCTTTTAGGCTAACCAAATAGGGTGCACTCTATCCAGAAAGCACTGGGAAGTCTATGTAGGATTCCTCAACAGGGGAACATGCCTTACAGCTAAGCCCATGCAGGTCATTCCAGGGTCAAGATGACTCACTCTGGAAACATTAAGTGGGGCTGAGCCTGCAGGTCAGGGAAAAGAGTCCCAGATGTGGGCAAACAAGAGACACAAGGAACAGGAACCAAGCAAAGCCTAGGAACCCAACAGACCAGGGAATCAAACAGAGCCTGACAACACCATCAGGTTCTTCCTTTTTAAAGTCCCAAGCTTGTGGCCTAAACCGTCGTGAATTCCTCATCTTCACCTGGAAGTCCTCTTCAGCGAGCCAAGGCATTCATAGCATGACTTGATTGGGAATTGAATTTGTGAGCGGGGCTGCCATAACAAAGCACACACACTGGGTGCCTTAAACAAGAGAAATGTATTGTCTCACAGCTCTAGAGGCTAGAGGTCTGAGATCAAGGTGTCAGCAAGGTTGGTTCCGTCTGAGAACCACAGGAAGAATCCGTTCCAAGTCTCGTGCCTAGTTTCTGGTGGTTCCTTGGCTTATCTATACGACACATCACCCTGACCTCTGCCTTTTCACATGCTGTTCTCCCTATGTGCGTGTCTGTTCGCACTTTCTAGAAGAACACCAGTCATGCTGGATTAGGGCTCACCCCGTGACCTAATTTTTTCCCTGATCATCTCTGTAAAGACCCTATTTCCAAATTGGGTTGCATTCCGAGATACTGGAAGCAAGAACTCCAACACATGAATATTTGGAGTACACTTCAATGCATAAAGGTATCATTTACAAAAAGATGCATTTGTTATCAAAGCTTTAAAAGAAAAGTAGACATTCCCTAAGTGAACTGATTTATTTATAAAAGATTTGGTACTTGTTGGTTTGTAAAGACAAAGAAAATAACACCATTAATATAAAAGACCCAGAAGCAACCGAATAGTCCACAATGAAGAATGCTTTTTCAGATTACGTTCAAAATTGTTCTTTTCTAATTTGTAGGATTTCGCATGGAGGCTGGTGTAGAGAAGAGTGGTGTGAGACAATGCCTTATACAATGGCATTGTATAAACTTTCCACCTACTGAGTCTCTTCTGCATACCTAGCATTCAATCCTCCCAACAGCTCTCTGAGGTGGATATTATTATCCTCATTTACAAATAAGAAGCTAAACACCACTTTAATCCTAACTACATTATCCTAGGCTGCATTTGGTAAGCAGTTGGGCTGAGATTTGAACTCAAATTTCTCTGACCACAAATTGTCACATGTAACATCCAAAGTAATTTTGTGAGTCCTGGTTGAAGACCAAGGGTTCGTCTCTGCAATGGGTCCAAAAGATGCTGCCCAGCGCACTGTCCAAAGAGGCAACAGTCCTCTTAAGGGACAATTATGAATGTCCTCCTGTGCCCAACATGTTTGATACCAAACAATAGGTGCTCAACAAACAAAACCTTTGTGAAGTCACCTAGAGCTGTAAGTCCTCTGATATCAGATTCATTTCTAATCATAAGAAAGTAGCATTGTCTCCAGTTAATAGGGAGAGCCAAGTGCAGTTTCCACAAATATCCTCCTCTTGAGCTTCTCCATACTCAGCTCTGCCTGCTACAAGTGTCTACTGGTCCATCAAAGAGGACTTTCTCATGAAGACACAGCTGCAGGAGTTCAATGATGCTGTCCTCCACTCCATCCTCCATTGATTCTATTCCATTGCGTCATTCAGTGTGTTGGGAAACTGCTTTCATTTGAAGGTGTCCATTGAGACAATAGACAGATAGGCACCCACAGATGCTAATAGGAGAGTGGACTCTTTGCCCTTATAAGTACTAATTTTCATGACCTTCATGGGTGGAATAAATCATTTTGTCAGTCTTCTTGGCATTTCTGGAGTTCAGGTAGAAGGTAAAAGTTTACAGCTTAATAGAAGCATTTGTAACCCTGGCAAGATAAACAGACACAACTTAAAAGGCCAACTCCAATAAAATGCCGAGGAGCAAGACAGCCCAGATTGTTTTTCCCTAGATTCCCATTAGTTACAAACACCAGGAACAAGTGGAGTTATTTCAAAAGCAACAGCCTTGTTTCCTGAGGGATCTATGCTCAGAGGTTTAGAAACTCAGTCGTGAATCTAGAGGGGTTTTGACAGTGCAGGGAGATCTGAATCTGACTTGGAATCACAGAGCACAGGGCTGTGGTCAAACATTTTCCTAGATTTGTACCTTTTCTCCTTCCTTCTGCCTTTAGATGTTATTGCTCTACATCCTCTTTTTCATCAGCTCCGAATTTGTTTAGTATTCCCTTGTTTTACTCCCAATGAAAATCAAGGAGATTTGGTGCTCTGAAAAGTCCAGAAATTGGCTGTTTTGATTTTTCTTAAAGGAATAAAAAAAATGCATTGATCAACACTCCCCCCCCCCCACACACACACACATACACACATCCTCATCTTTCTGGAAGATGTTACAGTGTCTTAGAGGGCTGTAGAAGGGATTGAGAGGTCAACAGAGCTCCAGCTTTGCAGAGACACCTGTCCAATTGGGCTCAGCAGCTGCTGTCGGATTCACCCTCTGCAACGGGGGAAACAGTACTCCCACGGTGTGAGACTCCACTGATCTGGAACTGGAACGAGTGAAGGGTTTTAAGGTTCTAAGGTAACCCAGACGTCAGGGCAGAACTTTCAAACAGGCTAAGTCCAAGTTCCTCCTGAGCAAAAGCGCCTGAGAGCCCAGCCCTGGGAACTGGGCAGAATGAAAACATGGAGAGTAGCTTGGCCAATGAAAAATGATCATCGTGATCAAATTAACACTTTGAACACGGCTTTAAGTTCGCCACGCTAACTTGGGTCAGGTTGGGGACATTGCGATGGGCTGAGGTTCTCACGTGCACTTCCCAAACTTAGAGATTTTTTTTTTTTTTTTTTTTTTTTTTTTGAGATGACCAGGATCGTCGGGGAGGGAAGGGAACAGACTAGAGGCTGAATCTTTGGCTTCGTGCTCCGAGGCGGAGACAGCCCAGCCTGTGGGATTACACGAGATAGGATCGGGTCCAAGCGGGTCCCCAGTGAGGCGAGGCGCGCCGGAAGGAATCTAAGTAAGAGTTTAATTAACTACCCCCCCTCCACGCCGAAGGAGAAGAAACCCAAATAGGCAACCCCCAAACCGTTTGATCAGAGGAAATTGAGTCTGTCTTTTCCCCCACTTCACCCTTCCTGTCTTTCAATCCATCAGAATGGTTGGTTAAAAAAAAAAAAAGGCGTAAGATCGGGGGCGGGGCAGAGGAGACGACCCAACTGCACTTGAGAACCTGGGTTGCGCCCAGGCGAACTTCATCCAGCCCGTCCCCCCGCGCCCAGCTCAGCCCTCCCGCTGCGCAGAGCCGGTCCTGCCCGCCCCGCCGCCGGAGCCGGGCGCCTACCCGGCCTTTCCAGGCGGAGCCGGGGGCGCGTGGGCGCGCGAACAGCCCTGATCCCGCGGCGGCGTCCGCGCTCCGCGTTTTCGCTAGCGCCGGGCAGGCTGCCGAGGGCGGGGTGCGCTGCAGCGCGGCGCGGGCTGCGGAGCAGGGCGCACTCCGCCTGCAGCCCAGCGAGCGCCGCCTCCCGCGGCCGCCGCGCCCGACAGCGCGCCCCGGAGCGTGCCCGCCTCGCACAGCCTGCGCTGACCTCCGCGAGGGGCACCGCGGCCGGCACGGCCACGTCCCGGGCTTCGGATGGTTCGCGTGCTGCCCACCCTCGCCCGCCGCTGACGCCGCGGACCTCAGCTCCGCAGACCCGCCGCGGCGCCGACGACAGTCCAGCCGAGTCCCGCTCCCTCGCCGGGGTGAGTGGGCTCCGCAGAGGGGCTGCGGGTGCGGCGGTGAGGGGCGAGCGCCGCGGGGGAAGGGCCCGGCACGGTCCGCGTCACTGCGGGGGGTCTGTGACACCCAGACTGGGTCGGTGTCGCAGAAAATGGGGGAGATGGGCATAATCGGTTTGTTGGGCTTGGTAGACAGTGAAAGCAGATACTGGGGCTGCAGCACCAAGAGGGCTTCAGAGAGGCTGCCCGCACGGCTCCCGCTTGCGGCATCACAACCAACTCTTCCCTTGATTCTCTCCTGCGTGGAAACCCGTTCAGTAGCCCCAGAGTTGGGGCGATGCGGGGCGCGGGGAGGCCGGGGTGCATTGGTCTGTGTCCACCTCTTAGGATCGCCTGTCACCTACTGGCGTCCGGAGGCAGGGTGCCTATTCTCCCCTAACGCTCTGGGGAAAGGGCCGATTGCTTTTTGGCTGAGGTGCATCAGCTCCCCCCTCCCGCCCCCGCCCCCGCCCCCGCCCCAGCAGTGGTGTTTTCTGGATTTTGCACGTATATGGGAAAGAGTGGGAGCGTCTTCTTCCCTTTAGGCAGAAAAAGTTGGAGAAACTGGGCATGTTAATAATTAGCAGGACCGGGACTCAGGATGCAGCAGAAAGCTGTTAAATTTTCATTGCCCTCTAAGAAAAACAGACGGCATCGCCAGTGACTGTTGGCAGTGCCATGTTATTTGAGGGACTTCGGGAAAATTGTCCACAGATTGTCTTCAGGAGGCTGAAGGAGGTGGGGGTGGGGGGAGGATGGCTGGCACTGCCCTGAGTTCCAGCTTCCCTGAGGAGGATTCAGAGTCTTAAGCCAAACACGTTTGGTTGCTGATTTTGAAGAGTATGGTAGGCAGAGCTGCGGCCCTGAGCAGGGTGAAGAACACAGCATGGGAACTGCCTGAAGGAAAAGAACATGTAAGGATCTTGCCTCTCCCGAGGAGTTAAGATGCATTTGTGCTACAAAAAGCATGCATATATACGTGGCTTTGGGGACGGGTTTTATGAAGGACAGATTACATGTAATGAAATTGTATTTGTGCATGCCGGTACAGTTTTGTCTACCCCCCGATTTTAACCAGACTTCAGAAGGCACTGTCTGCAGCTGATGTTATATAATTGATGCGGTTCACCATCAGTTAATTTATAATGTGCCTTTGGAGTAAAAGGAACTTCCGTCTGTTACTTCAGACAAACCCAAGGTGTAGATGGGTGAGGGTTGCTGAATGTTTGCCCTGGTCTGGCTCCAGATGTGTGAGCTCAGCTGTTGCCTGTCACTTAGGTGACAACTGGCCTTTTCCCACTAAGCCTTTGCTGTCTCCATTATCCTCAGTGAAGTGTCAATGTTCAGCCGCCTTCTATTATCAGAGTGGACTCTAGCCCCTTGGGAGGTGGCAGCGTTGTTTCACCATCCCCAACAATATGTCTGTTTTCAGACTCTAGGAAGGAAAAAAAAATCCCATGACAGCAAGATAGATACATTTTGAATTGAGCACCAACTTAATCCAAAGATTCTGCTTTAATCAAGACAGCTCTGGAAGGATGACGCAATATTTGTCAAGCCTTTTTCTTTGGAACAATATTTACTCCCACTAGGGGATTTTAAACTTAAACAGCAGCCATTTATCTTGCTGTCTGGTGGGGCCCGGTTCAGTTTGCCTCCATGTGGTCCTAGCCTAGGTGGCTGGGCCGGGCCTGGGACAGGAATCTGTCATTGTAGCCCAGCTGGAGCCTGAAGAAAACAAAATACAGCACCTGCTGGTACCAGGAGGTTCCTAAATGCCATCAACTGGCGAGTCAGGAAACACAGAAGGAGATATTTTACAAGCTCTTCCAGAAATGTTTATACAAAGGATTTAAAGGTTAACAATGCATGTGTTCTACATATTAATACTAAAAGGTGCTAGAAATGAATGGACGTTACCCACAGTTGAAAGTTAGCACACTTGCTGATGAACTTGAAAATCTCTCTTTTAATAAACCATGGCTAACAATAGTGACTTCTTCTTGTGAATCAGTGTGGGAGGGAGGGAGAGAGGGCTAAAGGACTGGATGGGACATAGGGGTAGCTATATTGACGTGAGAGAATAGATTTTGTAAATTAATTTTCAATCCTTAATTTGGTACTAATTGGTGATTTATCACTGAGGGAGCCTGTTGGTTCACAGGTTTTTCAAAGAAAAGTGATGTATTTTACTCAAGTGACAGATTCAATCAGTTCTGCCAGCAATACCACTGAACCTTTAATTAAAAGTTTATCATGTTTTTAAAATCAAGGTCCATGGAACCGCCACTTTTCTCTATAATAAAGGAGGTTGTAATGAGTCAGCTTGGGTCACCCAAATAAAAGCTAATATCAGCTGGAGGAAAAAAAAGACCCTTATAGGGTTAATAGCTAAACTATTAAGTTTAGAGTCAGATATGGGTAAAAGTCTGGTTATTCCTAATGTCCTCTGCTCTGATAACTGTGAAAAGACACAAAAGAAAAAAGGTGACAAGTTAAAATTTCTTAAGTCAGAATTTTAAAAAGTAAGCTGAAATCTAAGTTTTAAAAAGCGACACTGTAAGATAATTTCTCTAAAACCGTTTATAATTACTTGAAAACCAAATACAAATACTTGAGTATTATGAGTGACTTTTCATAATACTCGTGAGATAGAACAAGAATTTTTAAAATGATTCTCCAGTAATTAACTATTTTAGTGATATAGTTTGGGTTGTCCATATTACAGGAAACAGTTTTCAGAAAAGATTATTCTAGTTAACTACTGTTAATTTTCCCATTAAAGTAGTTTCTAAAGAGTAAAATTTTCCTTTTAAAGAAGGAAAGTAATTTTGAAAATCAAAGTGATTCTCATCTGTGCATAGAAATGTTAAAGATGCCAGTAGACCAGGGTATACTCCTTCCCCTTGGGAAAAAAAATAGCTCTCTCTCTTTTTTTCCCTCCAGGTTACATAAAATAATGTTAATTGTTTAACTCTTATTCATGTGAGAATATTCAGATTACTTAAATGCAGGTCCAATTATTTCACAATAAAGAGGAATTAGGAAAGTAAATGAGTTATATTTCTTAGTTGGTTGGTTGGTTGTTTGGTGTTTTGAGGGAGCACTCCTGCTTTGTCTTCTGGTCACAGAATAAAGCAGTACCGTATTACACACTAATGTCTTCAGAAGGTCGTGTTAGCAGACGAGCTGGGAGAGGGAAGTACAGTAGTCCTGGTGCCAAGTCCTGCCTTGATGCAGTTCCTCGAAACCTCAGGCGGTACGTGGAGCCAGAGCCAAGTGCCAGGACCCAGCCGGCCCCCCTTCTGGACTCTTCCGTCTCTGGATGCACACAAGCCTAGCACCTCAGCGCCGCCAGCAACCAATAGCCAACCTTCCTGTCTGTGGCCGTGCACAACTGAAGTCGCGGAGGTTAACTAAGTGTGTGTTGGTGGAGGAACATTCTGGAACAGTGGAAAAGGCCTGGCCCGAAATGGCACACGGGGGTCCACCTCACTCTCCATTTCGCTCACTCTCCTCTCTCCTGAAGGAGGGATGGTGCGAAGAGACAGGCTTTACAAGATGGAGCACGCTGATGTCATGACACTCCTGGTGCAGAGACACGACAGAATAATCGGACCCCTCTCCCGTGTGCCAGAATGACATGATTTTTCCAAGAACCGTTCCTGAGCCAGTGGTCCACTGGCTCTATTTCCAGTCCCCGGGGGGTGGCAGGGGGGGCGGGTACAAACCTCGCAAACAGAATGCAGTAATTCTTCCTGTGTCTCTGTTTTGTGCGCTTGTTTAGACTAAACTCTAAATGCATTTTGGTCACTTTTGAATGGACCTCTCTGGAACAAGAACGATTGCCCAGCCTGAACTGATTAGACCTCTCCAGATTCATTTCCTTATGAAGAGAGATTTTAAATGTAAAATAAAAATAAAAATACCAGCAAGACAGAAGCCAGTGTAAACATTTTAAAACTTAGAGCTGTAAACTAGCGGGCAACTGTCATTCCCCTTTACTTAACTTTTTCCTTCCTGTCCATAACTTCGTCTGAAGCGATCCTAAAAAACAACGGACCGGTTCGACTGCAGTTGCATTTTTTCTCACTGGTAGATTTGTCCTAAAGTCTTGGGAGAGAAGCCTTTCATTTCGAGTGGATTACACTTCAGAAGAAAAAAAAAAAAAAAGTGCGGGCTGTGTTATTTCAGTTGTTCAAGTACTAAAGTCATGTACTCCTTTCTAAGAGTTTTGTCCCGACTGCTGCTTTATAGCCCCCACCAGCTTTTGCTTTGTGTACGCTTCTCTCTGTTTCCTTCTTGTCTCATTGGGCCTCTGGAAAGAAAGAGTTGTCAATAATACAGTGAAAATATTGTAGTCAGATGTGGCCTTAAGGAGACCCCTGGGTGCAGCGTGCTCTCCCTCAGCTGCCCTGCTTTTATCTGCAGTGCAGATCCCACAGCTTACAATTATGGTCTTTGACTTTGGTAACAATTCTGTTTGAAATGTTTCCAATTACACACAATATTGGCGGCATGTAGCAGCTGCATGCCAAAAAGCATTTCCAAGTGTGTTCCAAGAATCAGGCTGTGATTGCTTTTAATTTAAATAAAGGCTATTTGGTTTCCTGGGAAGCTTTTTATAACCACCTTCTCTCCCCCACCCCATTTTTGTCACCTTTTAAAAAAAGTCTGATATAAGGTAGCCACCACTTAATGTGATATAGTATTGGCCCTGGTTTTCTAGGATGGCCCTTGGCTTTGTGCAAGCATGAGGACTGTTCAGTAAAGGAAAACATAAAGAAACATTGTACAGCAGTTTGGATTTCCCCAAAGAAGAAAAGAAGGAAAGGTTATCTGATCACATATTGTAAGTAGCCAACGTTTTCGAATTTTTCCCCCTCCTTCTTTAGGGATCTGTCGTTATAATTATCAATTTAGGTCACTGAAGATTATTGGGTACAGTGTCTTTCATTCAACTTCTTCTACTTTTCTTTTTGTGAGCCCATGAACATACGTTAAAGACACATTGAAAAGGTAGAGAAAGTTCAATAAGAATATTCTTAAAACAGTGGGCATAGGGTGGGGGGCGGGGCAGGGAGGGAACCATGGAAATAATTTCACCATTCTACAGCAACCAAACCTGCCAGATCGCCCACTCTGTGGGCTTGAAATCTCTGAACACTGAAACCTTTTAAAACAGTAGTGGCTTAAATCTTTTAATAGCTACCAGATATACTTGACTTATTAAATCTGAAAATAAGAAAATATACACTTTCAGGATTTAGAGTGAAGGGATTAGTTGCAAGACTGGGGGGTTCTGTTTCCAGGATGGTTTGTTGGCCCATTTGAAACATAACACCTAGAGCTAGAGGGTATCCAATAGCTGAGGTGCTAAGATGGTCCCAATTAGGGTGTTTTCACATAGGCTCTTTCAATCCTGGCAAACACATCCTATAGAATATAGTGCTTCTTTGGGTTGAACAGTAGTTGACTTGCATAAATGCCAACATCTCTTCTGGCATTTTTGGAAATCTTCCATCATGTAATAAATAGTGCTGTGTAATCCAAATTTGTAAATGCCATGTTTCAGGTAGCCCCTGTAGAGACAGCTGAAATTAACCCAGGCTGCCAGGGATCCTCGAGATCCTGGAGGTTAAGTTACTGCCTGCATCCAATGTCCCACCACTAATGAATGATGGGGGGGGGCTTTGACCAAAGCTAGGAGAGGGTGCGAGGTTAGCCTTAGTGTAAGAAGCACCTACCAACCGACACTTAGACTTGTCCTTTCTCCTTGAAAACTCTTTCAATTAAGCAAACCTTCTCAGAGGAAATTTATTCAACTCAAGGTAGAATGAGATTTATGTTGCTTTCCCAGCTGAGCACCCCAGCCTGCCAGATACTCAGCCCACCCAGGTCCATTGCTATAGTGACAAAACCCACTATAGTAACTATGGTTGAAGTAGAAAGTCTATTAAAACCCATTTCTATGTTGGCCAGCTCCTCTGCCCTCATTGCAGTGCAGCCTTCTGGATACACACACACACACACACACACACACACACACTCATACACAACATTCTTTTAATCTAATAATAGTAAACTGATTTAGACCATGTTATAGTTTCACGAGAGGCATTTGTACTTGTTTCTTTTTTGTCTTTTATCTCAGTGATAAGTAAATAGTATGGTATTCTTCTGAAGAAACTCATAACTTGTTAACTGTAATTGATGTTTCCAGCTCTGTTATTTACATGCTTGAATAATCTATGTTCCTTCGTTAGGATCTGAAAAAGACCTAGATAGCATGGCATTTTGTTTTGCTTTAAAATATCTCTGCCTTGAAATAGAGACACAGATGTAGAGAACAAACGTATGGACGCCAAGGGGGGAAAGTGGGGAAGGGAGGGAGGTGATGGGATGAAATGGGAGATTGGGATTGACATATATACACTAATATGTATAAAAGAGATAACTAATTTTTAAAAAGACCTAAAAATAAATAAATAAAATATCTCTGCCAAAAAATTTCAGGAACTGTTAGATTTTATGTAAGAAGACTCCTTAGTGCTCTAGTGTTGAAATACTTGTTATAATGTGTGTCAAAAGGAGACAGCATTTTAAATTCTTCCGTGACTATGTAATTAATAAGTATGTTCAGTGCTTGAAGTATGTGCATGTTACATAATTTTTAGAAAGAGATAAAGTTAGCTCTGAAGTGCATTAGAGCATCACAGATGTTTCTTGTAAGGAAATTCATATGCTTCTTAGGAATTTTGAACTCCTTTCTGATGCTTAGCTTTTGTTCCTTGCAAGGATCATATGAATAATTTCATTGAGTTGCTTCAGTTCTTATTTACACAAGCCTTGGGAAGGGAGCTGAAGTGATAAATAACTTGCCCCCTCACCTAGTTCTGAAATGCTTTAGCCTTTTATGTTTTTGTGAATGTGAAGGGAGGGAATAAAATATACAGAGAAGATGTTTGTGTTTAACTAACTTAATCATATAAGTTCCCTTTGTGGGTCTTCTATAAGCTTAAACAGCTTGTCAGGCTAATAGCCAAAAACATGTCCTCAAGTACTGCCAAACGTGTTAAAAGCAGACCAAGCTTTCTTCATATTGAGGTATTAGAAACATATTTTTTTTTAACCTTCTGAATTTTAGGAATAAACCAGAAAAAATCACTCTCTTCTTCTCCTTACCCACAAAAGCCAAAATTATTATTCAGTGCAGTGCTGAAATGAGAAACTGATAGGAATAATGATATTTGTGTGGGAGAGTTTTAAACTGGCTTGACTTGGCTGTTTAAGCAGGGAGCAACCAGGTTACAGTGGTACATGATGGGTCTTTGTTTTTTATGTGTTCATGTTGCCTGTACACACTAGCTTTTTTTACTTTGGTTCAGTAACTTTTGGTCAAGTACTTGTCCATTTATCCTGTTTCTTCTTGAGCAGAGATTCAAGAACAGACAGTGGTGATGCAATATAATAGTACAGAAAAAGTCAGTTTTTCTACCATCATTTTCTGAAAATCAGAAAATTTGGACTGTAGTATAATAGCTGTGTGATTTCTAGTCAGCCACTCAGCCTTTCTGGGCCTCAGTTCCTCATATATAAAGTAAGGGAATTAGGCCAGGTCAGTGCATGTTAACCAAAGATTTGAACCGTAAACACCTATGGAGCTTTTTCAAAATGCAAATACACAGAGATTTTTAAGGCAGCAGGTTTGGGGTGGGGTCTTGTACATTTAAGTTGAAAAAGCTCTTCAGGTAATTTGATACACAGCTGTGGTTAAGAGCCACTAAATTAGATGATCTCTAAGATTTCCTTCCAGTTCTAAAATTTTATGTTTCTAATCCTACTAGACTGAACATTTTTCCTTCCTTCCTTCCTTTCTGTTTTGTTCATTTGTTCATTCATTCTTAACAGCTACGTTCATTCCTAATGTTGCTGTCAAAATATAGACATCATTTTAACTCAGTTCTGGGAAGATCTATGTTCTGCTCCTGTGAATAGATGGTAATTGATATAAGGGAGGAACCACATTAGTTCACCATTTCATACCCAACGCCTAACACAGTGCCTGGCACATAGTGGACACTCAACAACAGAGAGTCCCAAAACTCAGGAATCTTTGAAAATGTGATGTTAGTTATTTTAGAATAATATGGTCGACATTCTGTAGTGTACACAGAAGTATAAATATAATGCTGTACACATGAAACATATAACATTATAAGCCAATATTACCTCAATAAAAGATAAATTAAAAATGAAATAAAGTAAAATAATATGCTCAATATGTTTTTTGTCAGCCTTCAGGTACCTTTCAGGTAAAGTGCCTCCAAGTTTAAAACAATGGATGTAATTGTTCATCTGAAAGGTAACATAATAAATACATTATTTCCCTTATGTTTCCAGACTTTTGGGATACTCTATAGTGTACTGACTGTAGTTTTTCCGAGATTAACAGTTGGCCTCATTGCTTTAAATGTGGAGTTACATCACCTGAAAAGGTATCTGGAGGTTGACAAAAAAAGATACTAAGCATATTACTTGAAAGTGCAATTAATGTACTATGAAAAACAGATTATCCTATGAAAACCATAATGTGTCTTATGTTTCCTTATCTCTTGGGCTCCTGCATTTGTTGAATGAATGATTGTTCAGTTTTCTGCCGTGACCTATGTGTGTCAGTTTAAGAAGTATAACCCAACCAAATCACTATAAACGTTTCAGAGCTTATCTGACAAATGTACAACTTTATTACAATTTTAAGTCTTATTTTAAAATATTTTAAATTACAGAGGTCAACCTTTTAAATCGATTGCTAATTATAATTGTTTTTTATAGCCAGCAATTGTGTTGGATCCTTTTACAGACATGATTCCACATCATATATTTCATAACATATAAAGTGCTTTTAAAGTGTCCATATCCACAGTACATGTGTGTATACACAGATATATGTATATGTACACACATCTGTATATTGTTCTAGATACGATAAATCAGAAAATCTCAATAAAATATGAGAAGCACACTCTGTTTTTCTCATAACTATGATGCATCTGAAAGTTTTATTATCAAGGGTAGGAAGATTCTTGGTTGCATAGTTTTGTGCAAATTGATTAAAAGAGTTTGTTGCTCATTTTGTTTCTCTGCTCTTCAGTCTTTGAAAAATTGGGTTATTTCCTATCATTATCCATTATTACCATTACTGTAGAACATAGACTAAATAAAAATAACTTAAACCAATCAGTATAACTGCTGGCTGTGTCTGCATAATAGGAACAAAAGGAGACATTTGATACTTACCTAGTTTACTTGATTTTTTTGTTGTTATTGTATGTTGCTGTTCTTGAGAGGAGGGAGGGTGTTGTTTTGTTTTTAATTAAAAGAACTTTAAAAATTCACCTTTCTAAAACCTGGATAACTGTCCAGTTTCCTCTGAACTTTTTCACTGTGAAGGCATGGCCAGTAGCAAAATCAGCTAGCGTGAGCTCTTTTTTCCTACACCCACTGCCAAATCAACTAATCAGGGCCTCAGAGTGGACATTGACACCTGAGTTATCTGCTTGGGTTGTTTGTACAACGCAACAGGAAAGCTCTCTCTTAGTCATTATGTGAAGGGATACTACTGTGAGGCATTTTAGTCAGGAAAGAGATTAAGTAGTCGCTAAACAGGGTTTCAGGATCATTGGAGAGAAATTGAGGGCTGGTCCAAAGTATGGTGTAAGCCTTATTATTTGTAGGTTTCACTTTCCTGAAGTTTCACAGCTAATCTTGTTTGTTCTGGACTTCAAGCTAATATAAAAGCACACATGTTGGTTTTTCCAAGTGGGAAGATGGCTCACTCCATCCCTTCAG